TTTCACTTCCCCCCTACCCTCCCTTCCTGCCATCCCACCATATGGATGAACACAATAAGTTCATTTATATATCCTTACTAGATGTTGTTTGGATATTCTAGGTAAATATGCTGCAGATAACTTGTTTATCTACATTCATATTTTATGTGATTTAATTTGCAGCAATTAGTATTCTTGGGCATATGCTTGGTTTCCGGTTAATGCTGCTCCTGCTACTGGCATCCACTCATAGCATACATAAACACCCATGGCCCCCCATTTCCACCTCATCGTCTTTGCCATCATCCTCCATCATCATAGCAAATATGGGTTACAATAGAAAAAAAACTCGTCTTTTGTCGTTCCACCGGAAACAGTAGGTGGCCATGGCATGGATGGTAGTTGTTGGTAATACATAGGCAGAGCAAATCTCCCCCTTACTATGGGAATCTTTTAATAATCATACTTTGATTAATAAAAACAACTTGCTTCTCTATGAGTCGTTTATGTTTGCGAATGTATATGCGAGTGTGCGTGTGTGTGAGTGGGTCTTTGAATTTGTATAAATTCGTACGAGCCTATTTTTCTACCACACCCGGCAAAACGGATGTTGTGGCGCCAGCGAGGAATATTCTTATACCCCAGCATACATATAAACACACACATACATAAGTACAAAAATATTTTATGTTAAATGTCACGGAGTTGTGCCCACATCAATTGCTTGTGCAGCTGAAACATGTCAGCGAGGGAGAGAGAGAGAGAGCAAATGTATGCTGCAGAGATTTTCATAAAACGAGAGTTCAGCAGAAGAAAATAAATTCTAAATAAGAGAAATTAATATTGTAAGAGAATTTTTACGATACACTGAGAAAAGTTAAGGAACTTTTCAAGTGTCACTTCTTTCGTTTAATTTATTGTTACTTTATGATTTATCACACTAAAAATATTCTCTATATCCTCAGTCATATCATTACAGAAAATATGGAAATAAAGGTCTCTGTGGACGACATCCGTTCCACGACATTTGAAGGCAATATAGCCGTTTGTCTGTATGGCTGGCTAGTGTGCAGGATAACTCTTGAATGGAGTATCAATTCCTTCCAAACTTGGTGCATCGTATTGATATTATCAAACTTAAATTGCGTTTGGAGATGGACGATGTCGGTCCACTCCTTCGGGCTCCTCCCCCACAAAAGTATACACTTTGCAAAGAAAATAATTAACCTTAAGGAAGAACCCCCTCCCTCACAAAAGTAAACAATTTGCAAGGAAAATAATTAACCTTAAGTAACACGAAACTATTCAAACTTAGCAAATCTTAATATTTGTATTAGTCGATCGGTCAGCTTCTTCTAGTACCTCCCTACACAAAAGGGTCAAATTTTGAATAAACACAGCTCTTGTAAAATGTGAAATAAAAGTCCGACTATTTGTATTAACATTTTATTTAGTATAAAGATAAAGACTGTGGGCTGATTCTTAATGGTACGTCCCTAGAAAGGCACATATATAAATTAATGTTCCATTAGTTTTTATAGGCTCCACCTTGGAAAGACGGGTATAATAACTTTGTCATTCCGTTTGTAACATCCCTAAATATTCGCCGTAGACCCCACCCCCAAAGTATATATATTCATGATCAGCAAAAAATTCTTAGTCTAAGTCGACATAACGATGTCAGTCTGTCTGTTGAAACCACGACACAGTCCACAATTGTTTGTATTGTGCGTAGGTATTGAAAATATCGGTTTGCGTATATCGGCCCACCTCCCGATATTCGGTATTTGAAGATTATTCACATTTTTGTACGGATTTGTCCAAAAATTGGTATTTGTAGTTTGTAATAGGTTCTTGCTCCGGTGGCGGAACATTGTTTATATATGTCCACTTTTTCGGATAGCCCCCGATATTCGGTATTTTCATTATTTTTTCCACCTTTTTCCACGGATTTAAACCCTAACCAATATATTCTTTATGGCATGATATGACTAAGGCCATTCCTGAAACTAAATTCATTGAATTTAAAATTTAAAACTTGTAATAAAAAAATTTTAATTGAATAATTTTTTTTTTTATACAGGTTGACAAAATTCCTTTACGGATCTGCTCAAATAAAAAGGTAAGTATTTTATGTAATTTTTCCGTCATATATGCTCTCATTCAGCTTCATGATTTCTGAGTGATTTCTAAAACTGATAAGAAAAAAATCTTGGATTTTTATTTAAAAAATCACATGTTTCCGCCAATATTAAATATGGTATAAATATGAGGCACATAATTTTATTTGCATTTATTACACGAGCTTTTCTCCAAAAGTCAAAATTTTCAAATTGTAATGTGTTTGTTAATTTTTGACCACAATCCAAAAAAATCTATAATTTTTAAGTACTTATTATCAAACATTTTAAAAATATTTTAAAGGACATTCGATTTTTTAATAAAATATTTTTCAAGGATCTTTTACTCGAATCATGATAGTGAATTTTCTTTAAAAAAAATTAATGTATTTCTTACTGGCCAAATATCGGATGCTATACTGGCCTAAATGTATTAATTTTTAAGAACACTGCTGACCAAAAATACTGGATTTTTTAAAAATAATTGTCAATGGTTTTTGACTAAAAAATCGTTTTATATTTAATTATATTTTTTTAAGAACCCTTCTGCCAAAAAATCGTGTATTTTTAAAAAAGTATTTACAAGGGATTTCTGACTATAAATATTGAAGATTTTATTAGTATATCTTTACAATGTCTTACTATTATTTTTTAATTTTTATTATTATATCATTAATTCATTGTTTTCAAGAACTTCCTCGTAATTTAAGATTGTTTTTATTAATATCCGATGCTTTTTAATTAGTATATAGGCAATATCGCATTTTTTCATATTCCATTGGAATATTGGATTGAAAAAAAAAAAAAACAAAACCAAACAAATAAGCAAAGACTATAGTCTTGCGGGGCCGACCATGTGATACCCTACAACACTACAATATGTTAGAAGCCTCTTTAAATCCAAATACATTTTGGAAGATTTCGCTTTTGAAATTATTTAACGGAGCACTGCCCAGATATTACCCTTAGTATTTTGACCAGGGACATTTATCGGATGCATTTAGTTAGTTACTGCTGAATATAATCCAAAGGTCATCCAAAATGCTAGAATTCTTCCCTGTCCTTAACTCTCTTCTTAGGCGTGTCGATCGGCTTCTACTTTGTGATCAGGAAAATTTTTCTGTTTTTGGTTCAATTTAACCCCTAAATATTTCCAAAAGCAAGAGGCCCTCTGTATCTCCAAATTTAGACTCATCTATATGATTTGCTTGCCTACGATATTTGGCTATATTCGTCAACGAAATCAGCTTAAACAAAGCCAGAAATTCGAAGAAGTACAAAATGTGTACTTCAATAATATAAGTCAAAGTGAAAAAATCGCATGCGATAATAAATATGAAGAAATAAAAAATTGTATCAAAATACTACAAAATCTATATTAACATCATTATTGGCATCTTTTTAGGCGATTTTTTAGATTTTATTCTTTTATGCTAAGAGGACATTGTAACTTCGCCGGGATTTAAAATATTCGCGGTTTAGTAGAAAATGTTACTTTTATATAGCACAAATGTTATGATCTACTTCACCCACTAAATATTACCCGATGACCATCAAACTTGGAAGGCTTCTGGTCAGCCCTAAGCTCCAGCCCCATGCTTACTTCCGCGTTGATTGGACTATAATTGCAACTTGTAGAGCAACTGCAAAATCAGGAAAATTTTCAGATTTATGTCCATTTCGACCCCTAAATATTATGGGATCATCTCCAAAAGCAATAGACTTCTATTCCGGCCCTAGTCCCACCTCCATTCTAAGATCGGGCCATAATTGCGACCTGTAGAGTGTTTACAAATTAACATGAACACACGGACGGACATATATAGCTAGATCGACTCAGCTTGGCGAGATAGGAAGATCCATATACACTTTCCTATGTAGGAAGCCAATATTTCGAGGTGTTACATAATGTTTGGCCCAATCAAACTTATCATACCCCAACATATATTGTTGTAGGTATACAAAAGACTCTTCTGTATGAATTTGAACTGTTGTTTTCAAACTTGTTATATAATAACTTAAATCTTAATAAACTATTTATTCCCATGACCGAAATTTCTTTAGAAAGACCCAACTGAGTTTTCCCTAGCAATTGATTTTTTCAATAAATTATAAAAATAAATAATAATAATAATAATAATAATAATAATAATAATAATAATAATAATAATAATAATAATAATAATAATAATAATAATAATAATAATAATAATAAAATTAAATAAGCTATTGCCATTTATCAGAAAATTACGATGATTTTCTCTTATTAAATGTTTCCTTTTGCTTCTCTCTTTCAATTTGGTTTCAAATCTCTTCTATCAACATGTTGTAACTACTTCGCCCCGAAAACTCTCTTTGCTGTGGCTATGAAAATTTTTCAAAACACTATCTCTTTGCTTAAATACCAACAAGTTGTAACAATTTGTTGATATCTCTAGTGCTCTGCTCAAAATTCCTTTTTCTCTCTTATTCTGCAACACACTCTTTCTCTCTGACTCCTAGAACAAAATGTTTCCAATTAGAATTATGTGTGGCCCAGTAAACACCACAACATGTTGCTAGAGTCACAAACCTCCTTGTTGGGACATGGGCATCCTTTATGTTTGATACAAAATATATGTGTGGCTATATTGGGGTGTGTGTGTGTGTGTTTCTGCCACATTCAACACGAAGTTATGACGATGTCCTACTCAACTCTGGATGACTACGAGAGATACACACACACACACACACACACACTATCAACAACAAACCGAAACGAATATGCAACGCGACTCGACTTTACTCGACGCAGCGTTGACGTTGACAACTGACAGCGACATCGGCAACGCCATCCGAGAAAACACAAAGTATCTCTGCTCCAAATGAAAGATTTTCCTATCTCAGTTTTCAGTTTATATTCGTGTCTCGTCTCAGCAACAACGGTCGTCGTCGGTGCTGGGTCTTTTACGCTCGATTTTCAATTTCTTTCCACGGCCAGAGGAATAAGAAAACAGAAAAAAAAATTCAGGCACACACCGAAAACATATGGTCTCCTTTGTATGTGAGTGAATTGGTGTGTGTATGTGTATAGTGTGAGATATATATTTATTTTCTTGTGTGCTTGGGGATTGTTTTGAATTGTTGTTGTTGTGACATTTTTTTTTTTTGGAGACGACCCGTGCTTTTCCTGTACATTGTGATATGTGTCGCCAGCTAGTGAGTGGGGTGTAGGTGAGTGAGTGTGCCTTTTTGGGGGGACATAAATGAGTGACAAAAATAAAAAAGAAAAAAATAGTTTGAAGCCCAAAAGAAGTACTTCAAACCTGAAGGAGAGCCCCTGGGCTCATAAAAACCAAAACACAACTCCGTAATCAAATGAAAGTGAAATAGAATTGTTTTTTTTTTCTTGGTGTGCGTGCCTATGTGTGTTTGTTTTCCATCAAAGAATATTTACATGGGAGAGTGTTATTTTGGTCCAGTGTAAATAGGTGAAAGGCCTTCGCTCGCCCTCATACCACCCAGCCACTATTGTTATTTTGTGATGTTATGTGAATGCTTGACATTCTGAAATAGCAAAGAAAAAAACCTATGAATATTGAACAACAAATTCGAACTCCTGAATCTTAAGAGATCACCTGCAACACAAGAAAAATAAGTAATCCATGCTGGAGAATAGTTTTAAAGGAGTATTTTTTGAGAAAAAAATAAATGCAATGAATTAATAAAAGTTTGTAATTATCGGTCGTTGGCATATCGGTTGGTCGTTTGTTTTGGTCCTTGGTACCTCTTATGTTTTGTTTGCTAAATTTGATTTTTTGCCATCCCCGCCCTCCATGGCCACATGTTGGTCCATTTGTGGGTATGAGTGTGCAAATGAGCAAATATATGTTTAATTCGATCTCTTTAGCCTAAAGATCCATTTTCTTTTCGTTTTTATTTATTTTTTTTTTTGGTATTAACAGAAACCGAAAAACCCCACAAAACAACATTGTCATCTGTGTTTGTGCGTAAAACAAGCGAGTGAATGAGTGAGTCGGTCGATTGTTTCTTAAAAAAAGTTTGCCGAGAGTTTAAAAATAAACAAAAAACAACGCACTGCCTGCCGGCCCCTTAAAGTGGAAATCATGTTGTAAAGATAGATATTCTAAGAGCAAACAACAACAACCAAAATTGGGGACAACAAACCAAAGCAAAGAAAAAAAAAAAACAAGAAATCTCAAAGAAAAAAAAAAAAAAAAAAGAAATACCCCAAAGTGGAAAATAAAAGCAGGCATTTTACACTAAATCATCACAAAATTTGATTATGAAGCAAAAACAACAACATTTTCCCTCCAACATCTTGGAAAGGTTAAAAGTTTCTTAAATTAGCAAAATTAAAAAAAAAAGAATCTCACATAAAAATAGCTATGAGAAAATAAACATCTTCAAGAAAAAAAACATAAATTCTAAAGGAAAAAAATAACAAAAAGAATTCCATTAAATCAACACCAACCAACCAACAATCCAATGGAATTCCCCAGAGTAAAACATAAAACGAAATATGGGCAATTTTCATAATTCAAATTAATTAACAGTCATAATTTTCGTTACAAAATCGCCAACAGCAGCAGCGGCCATTTACATTCTAGATTCCGCGTTGTTTTTTTCAACCAGTGTTTTGTTTGGCTCAAATTTATGTGCGTCAATAAGTGAATATAAGTGTTCTTGTTCTTGTTGTCATTATTGTTATTATTGTCATTCCAGTATCATTTATAATACTTAAGGGGAATCAAGCCAAGTGTCTGTTATTAAGATATCACACACACACACACATTCATCTTTACAAAATAAATACATACATACACACAATCAGTGTAAATTACAAATCCCAAGTTACCGCCAACCTCATTGGAAATCCTCAAACCTCAAATCAAAATATCTTTAAGGAATATTCAATTATTCAAATAAAGAGGCAAAAAGGAAAAAAAACCCAAAAAAGTGTGAAAAATAAAAATCCAAAAAAAGATAATAAAAAAAATCAAATTTAATGCTAATATCAGCTAAACCATAAAAAGAGAAATACGAAAAAAATCCAAAACCAATTCCCCTTAACCAAAGAATAGTGAATTTCCATATTACAACAAAAATCAAAACCTAGCAAAAAGCAAAGAGTGTAAAGCAAAAAATTGATTTCCATATTAAACGAAATAGAAAAAAAAAATCAACGAAACAACCAAACACACGGAATTCATAGCCGCTCTTAGCTGGATCAGAGCATACTTTTCCCAAAACATGGAGTTATTTTCAAATGGATGCCAATAACATTGGATAAGAGTTTTTTGTTTAGAAAAAGCATCTGTAGACAGCAGAACATATGAGGTGAGTTTTACTAAGTATGAAACTTCTTTCGAAAAATACTGGAACAAGTTCAATAAGGATATGAGTTTAAACAAGAAAAAAAACTGTAAGTTCGGCCGGGCCGACCTTTTAATACCCTCCTCCATTTGGTACAAATTTGGCAATTTCCAAAAAAAAAAAAAAAAAAAAAAACAAAAAAAAAAATAAATAAAATAAATAAAATAAAATAAAATCCGTTTAAAATTCTGTTAAAATCTTAAAAATACCAAATGCCTAGCGAAAATAAATGCGAAACTTGACGAAAAATCTATTTAAAATGTAGCTAAAATCATCAAAATACCGAATATAGGGGGTACCGTTATATGGGGGCTATACGAAGACGTGGACCTGCACAGACAATTATCTGGCATGGGCTGAAGTATCCATTACGAACTTAACATGCGAAATTTGAAACAATCCCGGTAAATAATGTCCCTAAAATCATAAAAAATACCGAATATCGGGGGGGTACGGTATATGGGGGCTATACGAAGACGTGGATCTACATGGTCCATTTTCTGTTCTATGCTGCGGTATCTATTACGAACTTTAAAATACTAAATTTGGAACGATTCCGTTATATAATGTAGCTAAAATCATCAAAATACCGAATATCGAGGGGTACCGTTATATCGGGGCTATATGAAGACGTGGACCTACATGGCTCATTTTTAGGATGTAGGATGTAGTATCCATTACGAACTTCAAATACCAAATTTGAAACGATTCCGGTAAATAATGTCGTTAAAATCATCAAAATACCGAATATCGGGGGGTACCGTTATATGGGGGCTATACGAAGACGGGGACCTGTACAGATAATTTTCTGTCTTAGGCTATAGTATCCATTACGAACTTCAAATGCCTAATTGGAAACAATTCCGGTGAATAATTTCGCTAAAATTATCAAAATACCGAATATCGGCAGGTACCGTTTTATGGGGGCTATATGATAACTTGGACCTACATGGCCCATTTACGAACTTAACCTGCCTACTGACAAAATATACATGTGTGCAAAATTTTAGCCTTCTATCTCAATTTGTTTGAAAGATAGCGTGATTACAACAGACAGACACACGGACGGACATGGCTAAATCGTTTTAGAATTTTACGCTGATCAAGAATATGCACACTTTTTTGACATGAGTATTTCGAGGAGTTACAAACGGAATGACAAAATTAATATACCCTCCATAGTATGGTGGAGGGTATAAAAATGTAGAAAAATCTTGACTTATATATCAAATTGTTCGATAAAAGCAGAAGAACCAATCACGGAATCCAAATGCTGAATTTTAGGTAATTCCGTTAGTAATTGAGATAATTTCGAATATCGGGAGGTATAATTATTTTGGGGGCCATAAGAAAACGTGGACTTGTATAGACAATATTCTGCTACAGGAGATAGAATCCGTTATGAACTTTAAATACCGAATGTTAAGCTATTCCGCTAGAAACTGGTTATAGGAAGGTACAACTATGTGAGGTTGCAGGAAAACGTGGACCTATAAACGCAATATTCTGCCACAGGAAATAAATACCGAAATACCGAATAGGAATTATTATTACTGTACTAAAAACAAAGTAATAGTAATAAATATAATAACAATGACAAGTCAAAAAGCAGTACGTTCGGCCAGGTAAAACTTTGAATACTACCAATATTTGAAACCAATTTGGAAATTTTCAAAACAAAAACCCTTAAAATCTTAAAAATGATGGAGTGAATGATGTGAATAATGTATCTAAAATCATCAAAATAACGAATATAGGAAGTACGGTTATATGGGGGGTTATACTAAGACCCGGATCGGCATGTGAAATTTTCTGTCATAGGCGGCAGTACCCATTACGTACTTCAAATAATTCTGGTGAATAGAGTCTCTATAATCATCAAAATACCGAATAAAGCTAGGTACCGTACGGCATAGACAATTATCTGTCATAAATCAATGTTCCCATTAGGAACTTCAAATACGAAATTCGAAACAATTCCGGTGAATAATGTCACTAAAATCATCAAAATACAGGATATAGGGAGTTACCGCTATATGGGGGCTATACAAAGACGTAGACCTACCCATTACGAACTATCATTATGAAATTTGAAACGATTCCGGTGCATAAGTTATATAGGGTCTTTAACTAAAAGTGGACCTATGCAGTCCATTTTCATTATCAAATGTTTGGCAGACGAAACATATATTTGAATAAAATTTTATCAACCTACTTCGATTCGTTCGGAAGCGACAGTGATTTACGCAGATGAATGCACAGACGGGCTGTCATCGTTAAATCTACATAGACTTTTATCCAGAGAATAGTCGCAGTATTTTAATAAGTAGACATATTTTATTTTTTGTGGGGCAGGCTTTTCTTTATTTTGTACAGGGTGAGAAAAAAAAGCTGCAACAAAGCCAAATTCCATACTTTTTAATTGAATTAAATGAATGCCAAAAATGTCGGAAATATCATAAAATTTTAGAATAAGTTTAGATTTGTTCGAATTGGTCACCTTTGGCACGAAATGTGGCCTTCAAACGGACAATGAAACCGTCAGACGCTGCCCGAATGTTCCTCTGCGGTATTTTGACTCATTCTATCGACACTTTGGTATTATTTAGTGCCAACCTTGCTTTCCAAAATACTCCAGACACAATAGTCCAACGGATTGATATCCGGAGATTTTAGTGGTCATTGTGCGCTGGAAATGAAGCGAGGAACCTCATTTTGTAACCATTCTTGGGTGGCGCGTGCTGAGTCCTGCTGGAATGTCCAAGGTCTGCGGCCAAAATGTTTGCATGGCCAAGGCTTTAATACACCCTCCAGAATATTTTCGCGATAATATTCGGCATTTATTCTGATGCCACGGTCGAATAATTCAAACGGAGAGCGACCATCGGGCCGAGCTAATTTTTCAATATTTGCCGAATGGAATATTGCGATATGTTCAGCTTGCGAGCCATTTTTCGGCCACTGCGACTGCAGGTTTCGATCAAGTCGCTTCTTTACTTTTCCAACCATTTCTTCTGATGTTGCTGTTTTCTTCCGTCCACTTCTTTGACGTCTGGCTACGCTACCAGCATTGCGGTAACGAGCGATGGTACGAGACACCAAAGATTTATTCACATTTAAATGCTGGAGTGCTCTAACGATAGCCACATGTGGTTTTCCAGCCAAATGTAAAGAAATCACACTATCACGCTTCAAATCCATCACGAATAACCTTTTTTCTGGAAAAATCTCACTTAAATGCTTTTGTACGCTTGTAAACAATATAATGAGCTATCACTGGAACAATTTTAACAGTTATCGGACCAGTGGCTTAGAAAAGACAGCGGTATGAAGTTGGTTGGAGTATTTTTCATCTCACCCTGTAAAGCCGAGCGAAGTATTCTATGTTCATGCCTTACCCAAGAAAGATAAGAATATTGGTATGGGCAAAATTTCAAAACAATCGAACATTTATGTCAATTTTAATGCGAAATCATACATTCCATATTCATCTCAGGATATATCCCATCTTCACAGCAGATCTTGTGTTAGTAGAAATAATGGGATGTTTGAAATATGAAGAGAACCGGGTGCCTTTTTCGGATTTTATAATCGTTTTGGTTATTTAAAACTTTTGAACCTTTGTGGGAGAGGTAGCAGAAGCAATGGTTCGATCTCTACCATCTTTATAACACATCCTGGGCTGATAGAAATATTGAAATTGTGACAAGTCCGAATGGAATTGTGTTAATTTGGCGTTCTACGAGCTTCATGGATATTGCAAATGTTGACCCTGTGTGTGGGAGGTATTAGAAGGAGTAGACCGATATATTCCATCTTCACACCAGAATCTAAAACCACAATATATAAATGTTTGAAATTCTACTTGAACTTGGAGATATAACATCAGAATCCGAGGAACCTCCAAAAATTTTAGATTTATTATGCACATATCTATCGATCGATTAAAGATACAGTCGCGATATGTATGTCCGATTCTAACGAAATTTGGAATGAGTGAAGGAATTTAGTACACAAATATATTGACAAATTATATTGAAATAGGTTAAGATTTGGATGCAGCTCTCATACATATTTTCGGCCGATTTCATATGTTTGGTGCACTAAAACGATATGTATGTCCGATTCCAATTAAATTTGGAATGAGTTAAGGAATTTGGTACACAAATATATTTGGATGCAGCTCTCATATATCCGGTTTAAATTGGATTCCTCAGAATGAGTGACGGAATTTTGTACACAAATGTATTTGACAAATTGTTTTGAAATAGGTTGAGTTTATTGTATTGAAATCAGTGATAGTTTTCATATATATTTTCCTTATTTATGCACCAAACACAACAAGTATGTCCAATGAAATTCAGAATGTGTGGCGGAATTTGGTACGAAAAAGAATTTGCCCAATTATATTGAAATCGGTTCAGATTTGGATAAAGCTCCCGTAAACACGTTATGTATCCCCAATTTTAATAGAATTTGGAATGTGTGACGAAATTTGTTTCAAAATAAATTTTGCAAATTATATTGAAATCGGATGAGGTTCGAATATAGCTCCCATATATATGTTCGTCCGATTTCACATATTTCATGCACCAAACACGATATGTGTGTCTGATTCCAATTAAATTTGGAATGAGGGATGGAATTTAGTACAGAAATGAATTTGCCAAATTATATTGAAATCGGTTCAGATTTGGATATATCTCCCACCAAACACGATTTGTACATGTTAGAAGTACATGTTGTATGTTAGATTCCAATGCAATTCGGAATGAATGTCTGATTTTAGTAGAAATTAATTTTGCCAAATTTTATTGCAATCGGTCCATTTCCAAAAGATCCAAAATCAAATGGAAATGAAAACCAATTGCAGTGTCATCTGAATAAAAACAAGTAAAAAAGCTGTAAGTTCGGCCGGGCCGAACTTTGAAAACCCTCCACCATTTGGTACAAATTTAACAATT